CTCAAGTTCTTGTGGACATAGGATTAGGTTGTTTGTTTGAAATGTTTCTATCTTTTTTAGGTAGGCCTGTATCACTATGAACTTCCCTCTCAGGACTGCCATAAATTTTGCGTTGTTGTGAGTTCATTTTCATTTGTTTCCAGAAACTATTTAATTTCTTCCCTAATTTCATTCTTGACCCATTCATTGTTTAATAGCATGCTATTTAATCTCCATGATTTTGAGTGTTGTGGGTTTTTTTCCTTGGGGTTGGTTTCTAGTTTCAGTCCCTTGTGATCCGAGAAAATGCTTGGTATGATTTCAACTTTGTTGAAATTGTTGAGGCTTGTTTTGTGTCCTATCATGTGGTCTATCTTTGAAAATGTTCTATGTACATTTGAAAAGAATGTGTATTTAGCTTCTTTGGCATGGAGGGCTCTCTATATATCAGTTAAGTCCATTTCATCTAGGGCATTGTTCAATGCCACAATATCTTTGTTGATATTTTGTTTGGAGGATCTGTCCATTTTTGACAGTGGGGTGTTAAAATCCCCCACTATAATTGTGTTGCTGTCCATATCTTTCTTGAAGTCCTCTAAGATTTTCTTTATGTATTTGGGTGCTCCTATGTTGGGTGCATATATATTAACAATGTTTATGTCTTCTTGGTGGATTCTTCTCTTGAGTATTATGAAGTGACCTTCTCGGTCTCTCTTTTTGGCCCTTTTTTTGGAAGTCTATTTTGTCTGATATGAGTATTGCTACCCTGGCTTTCTTTTCCTGTCTGTTTGCTTGGAAAATTTGTTTCCAGCCCTTCACTTTCAGTCTGTGTAGGTCTTTAATCCTGAGGTGGGTCTCTTGTAGGCAACATATGTATGGGTCATGCTTTCTTATCCAATCAGCTATTCTATGTCTTTTGATTGGGGCATTTAATCCATTTATGTTTAAGGTTATTATTGATAGGTACTTATTCATTGCCATTTACGTACCTGTGTTTCTCTCTCTCTCTCTCTCTCTCTCTCTCTCTCTCTCTCTCTCTCTTTTCCTTCCTTTCCTTAAAGCAGTCCCTTTAGCATCTCTTGCAGAGCTGGTTTGGTGGAGGTGTATTCTTTTAGACTTCTTTTGTCTGAGAAGCTTCTTATTTGGCCTTCTATCTTGATTGAGAGCCTTGCTGGATAAAGTAGCTTTGGTTGCAGACCTCTGGTTCTCATAACTTGGAATATTTCTTGCCATTCTCTTCTGGCTTGGAGCATTTCCCTTAAGAAGTCAGCTGCTAGCCTTATTGGGGCTCCCTTGTATGTTACTTCCTGTTTCTCCCTTGCTGCCTTTAAGATTCTGTCTTTGTCTTGAAATTTTGCCATTTTAATTATGATGTATCTTGAAGTGGGCCTCTTTGGGACTCTCTTGATTGGGACTTTTTGTGCTTCCCTAATTCATCAAATTAGGGAAGTTTCCCATCACTACTTTTTCATACAGGATTTCTATCCCTTGCTCTTCTTCTTCTCCTTCTGGTATCCCTATTATATAGATATTATTATGTTTTATATTGTCTTGCATTTCTCTTAACCCCTCTTCGTTCTTCCTGAGCCTCTTTTCCTTTTCTTGCTCTTTCTGGGTGTTTTTTTCTACTTTGTCCTCCAATTCACTGATCCAATCTTCTGCTTCATCAATCCTGTTTTTTATTCCTTCTACTGTGTTCTTCAGTTCAGAAATTGTATTCTTCATTTCCTCTTTGCCCTTGTTGATAGTTTCTATTTCCTTTCTCATGTTGATATAATTTGCAGTGAGTTCATTGTAGCTTCCCTGTAGTTTCTCGCAGCTCATTGTGAGCTCATTGAGCTTCCTAATAATCATTGCTTTGAACTCAATATCTGATAGTTGAGTTGCCTCTATTTCATTTAGCATTCTTTCTGAGGCTTCCTCCTTTCCCTTCATTTGGGGATTGTTTCTTTGTCTTCCCATTGTTCATGAGACTCTTGTTAGTCTCTGCTTCTTAAGTTGATGTGTTCTGGCTCCCTGGGTTTATGGTGTGAACTTCTGTGGTAGAGTACCTGTGAGATTCAGTGGTGCAGTCTCCTTTGGGTCTCCTGGTGTTCACACTTCCACCTACTCTTTTTTGTGATCAGTTGGAGGGGTAAGGCAAAATGGTTTAAGACAGCAAGAGCGTATTCTATGATACTTACTATAGCAGCCAGTAGAGAAGATATAGGAGATCCTTTGGCTATGCATAGTGTTAACTGTGATCTTCCACCCAGCTACCCACTATTTAGAAAGGATGGAAAGTAGATAAGACTCTTGTTGTTAGGGAGGAAAGAATTGTGAGTTGGATCTAGAAAGAAGTGAGGTCATGGGAGGTCAGATTTTGAGGTTGGGTGAGAGTAAAGGATAGGAAATAGGTGTAGTGTGTGAGAGAATAGAGTTAACCACTACAGTAATAGAGTTCAGGAAACTAAGAAGTGAGCTAAAATCCAGGAGGAGTGTTGTTAAGTATTTGCAATTATATGAAACAGCTATTATTTACAATAATATTAGAGCAACAATCATATGACAGAATCTATGTGATCTAAATAACCAGAATAGGGAGTATAGGACCTTGAGTAGTGTGCTAAAGGAACACAAGTGACGTGAGGGACAGTAAATTAGCAATACAGTATGAATGAGATAACAGGGGAAACCTGTCAAATGATACAATATAACCAGCCAAGGAACTAAGACTGTACAGAAAGAAGAGGAGTACAAAAATACTATTAAAATAAAAGATGTAGGAATAATGAAAAAAAAACACAAATATTCAATAACTTGCAGGTTCTCTGTAATAGCAAAGTGAATTTTGTCCCACAGTCTCAACTGTTGGGTTGCCTTCTCTTTGGGTCCAACTCTGGTTTTTTCACAGTTCCAGGTTTTGCTTTTTTTTCTTTTTGTCTCACTTGTGGGTATTCAAAAAAAAAAAAGGTAAAAGAGGATTGGAAGAAGAGATAAAATTGGAAAGAAAGGAAGAAGGAAAGAGAGAAAGAAGGTATTGAAAGATAAAACAATAATAACAATTAAAAAAATAAAAGATTTCTAAAAAAAAAAAACAACACCTCTTGTTGATTTCAAACTGGCCAAACCACAAACCGGTTTTTCTGGTCTTGCTGGCTGAGGGGCAATTGGTATGGCTTTTCTCCCTTCCTGTTCTGCACTCAGCCAGTCTTGCCCCTACTCTCCCCAGAGTTAGTCTGACATCTCTCCCCAGAGCCTTGGATGTCGGACCCAGGTCTTCCTGAGAGTGCTCTTTCCCCTGGGGTTTCTGCTGTGGACTGGGGTGCAGCACACGCTAGGTCAGGCTGTGTCCCTGCCATGGACTCGGGTGTGCACCCTTCCTAATGGTATGGAGGTGTGCAGGGCCTTCAGCACAAACTTCCCCGCCACCTCAGGATCACTGCCCTGCTCGTTGGGGAGGAGGACGAGTGAGGCTGATGCTGGAGTATTCCCCAAACAGTTCCTCTTCTTGGGAAATTGCTCCCACTCAAGCCTGCAGCTCTGTACAGCCCAATTCTCTAGCCAGACTATCTGAGGCAGTGCTCATCACTGCGCGACTCTCAGGTCTCCCAAACCAGTGTCCCCAGACTCTGCGGGTGATCCCCTCTCTGCCGCTTCAAGCAACCAGGTCTCTCCCAGTGCCATTTAAACCTTGTTTGGCGGGGGAGGGAGCAGTTGACCCAGCTCTCTCCCAAGGACCCTGTGGCAGACCCGGTGGGCACTGGGCCTGAGGCTGCAACCGCCCTGGTTCCTGAGCTGGTCCCTGGGACCTTACTGTCCTGAAGTACCCTTCTTACCCTATCTGGCTTTTCAGTGTCCACTACAATTTTTGGTCTCTTACACTCATATGCTAGGGTACTGTTTGCTGTTTGCTCTGTTCCTCCATAGATTAGCTAGTTTTTTTCCCCCGTGAGTAGGAGGAAGTGGAATCTGCTCTCTGCTACTCCGTTGCCATCTTCCTCTCCCTCTTCTAATGTTTTGAAGAGCAAAGCAGAATGCTTGCCAAGTTCAAAAGTAGTTCCTTGGGAGGCAGAGCATATGTCTTTTCATCCTTGTACCCTTATTGCCTACAACAGTTTCAAGTACACAGTATACTTGTGGCAACTCATGTTTCTTGTTTTGTGTTTGTCTAAGAAAGCCAATGTACCAGTCTTGTCAATTCCCTACTCCAGATCCACTCCATCCTGCCTGTCCCTCAGTCTCAGCAACATGCCTCACTTCCCAGCTACAGGAGCCTCCCAGCACCCACTGATTCTCTGAGTTCTCCACTAGCTACATAGGGAGCTAAAAAATAACAAAAACAGAGGAGTTCATTGGTTTGGGGGTGGAACACATGAATTTTTGCCTTATCCCCAGCTTTTCCCCTGTCGTCCCAAGCTGTGGTGGTTCTATATAAACTTCTCTCAAGGCATGTCACACAGCCAAGCCAACAGTCATGTTTCCTGTAGAAGCTGTGGCCACCTAGTGTTTGTCTTCCCTCTCTTCTCCTTCACCCTTTTCCCTTCACTCCCACTCCACTGCTATTATTTTCTCCAGTAAGGTATTAGCACATAGGCTTTGTTTCGGGTCCATTTTACCAAGGATATGCACTAGGATAGCAACTGAAATTTTATTGTGAGTTAGTTTAGCAAAGAATAACAGATCCATCCTATGAGATCTTCTGAAAGAGTGGGCTACAGATAAATCCTCACACAAAGAACTGAAAGGACAACTGATCTGTTGTCTGGAGCAGGCAAAACAAGCCCTGGAATGAACAGCAGCATAAGGACTCTGGGACCAGAAACATGGCCTGATGTCAACAGGTGGACATGAGAGCATGACCAACAAAAGTCACCTCTGTCTGTTTTGAAACCTTGCTGAATAAGAGCTGTTCTCACTCCTTGCCTAAGCCCTACCCAAACTCCGTTAAGCAACCTGATGGATGACACCATCATTTCCCAAGGCCTTTCTCACAAAGCTTAATTCCCATGATGCTCTCAAGCTTTGTGCCCTTTACTCACCGACTTTCAGCTCCCCGCCTGCAATGACTATGCAGGCCACACTCAGAACGTTGCTTCTGTCCACAGGGAATTCTAAAGTCCCCATCACATAGAGGCCTTTGAGGGATGGAAGATCTGTATCCACAAGGATAGTCCTGTCTGCAGAAGGAAAAGAAATTGCTCAGACATATAATCCAACTGTCTCCCCTCCATGATTTGCTGGGCAGTTCTCTAGGAAATCTGGGCACTGCCTGCCTTACTACCTACTCCAGGACAGGTGCAGAATCTGGAGGAACAAATAGTTTGCTGGAAACTGTGCCTTAATAAAGAGGCAGAGGGAGGAAAAAAGGCATGATTAATACATTCTGCCACTGCTTAACAAACCAAGTGTTATGGCCAAAAGGCATTGCCCATGTCCCAGGCAGCCTGCTATAGTACAAATGTACAGATGAGGTCCCTACACTTTGTCCCTGTCCCATAACTTTGGCTCTAGTTTCAGAGAGGTAGAGAAAACCACAGATATGATCTTGACCTCTTAAGTCAGGCCATTTGGATGAGAATCCCTGCTCTGCTATTTACTAGCTGTGTGGACCAACAATGTCACCTCTCTTGGTCATAGTTATCTAATCGATAAAATGGGGATAATAATAAACTCACCTGCTTTATTCATAGGGTTTTTGTGAGAGTTAAATGAGTTAATAGGTCTGAACTACTTATACAGTACTAGTTAGCTGTTCTCAATGCCCCAATTCCCACCATGGAAAGCAACATGTCTGGTACGTGCTCAATAAATGCTGAATATTTTCATTATTTATACTGTTGTTCACTAGTTTGGCATGCTTGTAGAGCTCATAGGACAATTTAAAATCATTATTCTTCATTTTCTCTTTCTTAAAAAGTTTACGTATAACTTCAGAATAAAGAATCATAGATTTTTGCTAAAGTAAAAATAATGAATGAATAAAAATTTTCACTTAAAACAGTAAATATTTTACATATGACAAAGTATTGTGTTACTTTCTGAGGCTTAGCAGTAATTCAACACAAATTAAATATATCAAATAAGTATTTCTACTTAAATTTCAAGTACCATAATCAGTGACACATGTAAATATTTTTAAGGAATTTTGCTAAGATAATCTCATGTTTTATTTAAGTAAATAATGCACCCTGCTGTGCTGAATAATTTACCCCCCAAATGAGCCTCTGAAGAGTTGTGTTTTCTAGTTTCTGCCTACTTCCCTAGCTATAAGACAGCCATACCTTCCTGTGGTTGAGACTATACTGTTGTAAACAATCATTTTCCTTTTCCTCCTGGATACAGAGTCAGGCCATCTTTTTCAGCTTCCTTTGCAGTTAGATGAAGACATGTGACTGAATCATAGCCAGTAAAATGTAGGCAGAATTGAGGTGTGACATCTCTAGGCTTGGTCCATAAATTCTCTTGTATATGCTCTACCTTTTCCCTTGCCCCTCAATTGAACAGAACAGTGGTTCTCCAGGTATGGTCATGATCCAACAGCATCAGCACCACCCACTCATCTATCAAAATCAAACTAAGTTTTAGCTCTGCTAGCAAGCCATCCCGAGTCTCACTATTGGATGCACCAGTTCCCCTGTGAATATCTCTCTCTCTGTCACTCTCCAGTTATAGCCCTGTGCATTCTTATGATAGAGCATTAAGACACATTATTGTAATTGAATACATATTATTTTACATAAGGAGGCAGTTACCACTGAGCTAATCTCAGTGTAATTATGTCTTTCTCTCCCACTGTCACTTCCTTAAGTTAAGAGACTGTCTATTTTTTTTAAATCCCTAGTGTTTATTGTTACATCAAAGATAAAGATGTTAAACAAATGTTGCCCAGATCTGTTGAGTTTAGCTCCCTATACACCTTAAATTTAATAGTTTATTAGTGACTGATAAGAAATGAATAATTAAGCTAAACAGATGAAAATACACACACACATATACATATATATTTCAATTTCATCTATAGTACTTTACGAATGTGCAAAAGAGAGTGAAATATCCAGAGAATTTCTAGGCTTAAGTAACATTTTATGGGTTCATGACTTTACTATGATTGTAAAAGCAAGACAAATTATTTCAAGCAAGCAAGCACCTCTGACTTCTATACAAATGGCCTTTATGTCTTCCAACCTATGGCCTGTTCTACCAGTTTTTGGTTGTTGAGCTTGATTGTACAAAACAATTAAATTGTTTCAATAAATGCTTCTCTCATCACCATAGTACTCATAGGCACATAAAAGCATGATATTTGCCCTCTTTTGAATATTTTTTTCAGTTAAATTATGACAATTACATGTAATTTAAAATTTCTCTTTAATTTTTGTAACATACTCTATTAGAAGAACATTTACTTTTAATTGCCCTACCCACTCCAAATATACCAACAAATCACAGACAGCTTAACTATTATAATCTCTATGAGAACAGAGACTGTAGCTGTCATTCTCACTTTCCCTTGCTCAGCACCTAGCACAATACCTATCATAAAGCGTTCAAAAACAATACCAAAGAATGCAAGCACATGAGCCAGACCCACCACATGTAAAATCTAACAGCTATCAGAGGAAAAGAATAAAATGAAGACAAAGGTAGAAACATTGCTCTTCTTTCAGTACCACCTTCCCTTTGAAATTTCCTGCATCTGTCTCTTCACCTTCTCTTCTTTGCTCCTTTCTTTCTCTAACATGTGCCATATCTTGTTGGTTAGTGGGAATTTAAAGAAGAATCAGACATGTTTCCCACCATCCGATGAAGGCAAACAAATAAATACAATGCAATATAGTTGAAATGATAACATATTTTTCCATTATGTGGAGGTTGACCCCTATCTTCATTCTCTTATCTACTTCAAAATGGCAAGTTTATCAATGTCCCTCTTAGACCAAAATTCTGCTAAGATAAAACAAACATATGCCCTAAAAATATCTCTACAAAGAAATTCTCATTTTATCACTATAGTTGAAATTATAGCTATCATTGCAAGTAGCAAAATAATGCATCTTAATGTACTCTTCAAAGGGATCAGCTGCAGGTTCATATGACCATCCCCCTGCTAGAATGACAGGTTTTAGAGGATCACTCCCTATTCCAGTTGTTGAAAGTTAGAATCAAGGTGCCACATCCTCTAGAACAGGGGTGTCAAACTCATTTTCAACGGGCCACATCAACCTTGCAGTTGCCTTTAAAGGGCCACATGTAATTTCAACTCCTTAACAATTAAGTAGTTACATTTATACAGTCCTAAAATTATTTCAGCCCTTTGAAGGCAACCGTGATGCTGATGTGGCCCCAGTGAAAATGAGTTTGATGCCCCTGCTCTAGAAGTAGCATTCTTTCTATGAAATTACTCAAGACATTTCATAAAAATCACCCAGAAAGTTACTTATACAACCCACTTAAAAGTATGAGTGATAGAACACCTCTGATCTCACTGTGGCCCACTGCTTTCCAACTTGTCTTGACTTGGCTGAGGCTACTACATTCTGCTCTGTCAGTGACCAATCTATCCTACTTAAGAGAATGAGTGCTGGCATATGGAGGGAACCATCTGGAATTTCTGTTGCTCGATGGGAGGCTGATGGAGGAACAGATCTGGAAAGAAACTCCAAAAAGAATTAATGAGTACCAGATGTAATTAAAGACTGCTTCCCCCCACCAAAGGACCTCAGGACCAGCCATGGAGCGGTGCCTCTTGGTTCCAAATTGCACCCTCTTTCTACTTGTTCATCCATCAAGCATTAAACATCCCACCATCTTTATTCTAGTATCATTTGCCAAGAACTGTTGTATTTTGTTTACAGAAAGGATTTTATTTTAGCAATTAGAAACATAAAGCTTTAGAAATAATACCTTGAAACTTAACACTAAGGAGAAATCACCTAAATGTCCCCATTGTCAAATGTGACAACAAAAATAATGAGAGGCTTTAGTCTTCCATAAATGCATTATCTACCCTTAAGACCAGAAAGCCTGAGCCAAATCTAAAGGCAGATATCTCTGACTGAGGGCTAGGGCTTCCTTTATATCAGGAATAAACTGACTCCCATACTTACAAAGCATTCCATATAATCTCAATAGTAGATTTAAATTCAATTTTCCCTCAGCAAAGCTGGGGATCAAGGTCACTATTGTACAACATTCCAAGGGCCTGACACTTGTCTAAATCCTGTAGAAATGAGATCAAGGGCAAAGGGCACAGATCTTGGGAATAATGATGGGGTCAATGAACAGGCGTAATTCAGGGCATGCAGACTCACTGCTTGGATCATATTCACTCTATCAGGCCCCATAACTTAGGTGGTGAAGACAGTTTCCACTACAACCCTGCTATTGTCAGAACACAGCCTGCACCAACTTTGGACACAGCCCAGACATCTGAGGGACAGTGATGGCATGCAAGGGCAGAACAGGACATACAAGGACATACAAGGACTATTTGTAGGCTTGTTATTTCCCATTATGTACCTTTCATAATAAACGGGTTTGTTACTGCATTCAGTCTTGGCCCTAATACGTTCCATTAACATGCAAACCAAAGGAAAAGTAAGTTCTCATGCCATCGGAATCACTAATGACACTATCTCCCTTTTTGAAAAGAATACTTTTAGCTCTAAAGTGACTACTTTAAATATATATTTACAATAATTGTGGGTGGCTTTTTTTCCCTTTGTAGTACTGTTTAACTTTTGGTGACTCTAACAATTTATTCAAAAAGCCTCTCACATTTATGAGAACAACTAGCATATCCAAAACAAATACTCCTAAAAGAGAATGGAATTTCTTACACATAAATCATTCACAGGTATGAAGGATTAACATGATTGAAAATTGGTGTCAAGTAGGCTAATTTACAGAGGTGATGGTATTTGCTTATCAAGAATTCATTCTCTAGTGGAAAAAGCCTGCCTTTTTCATTGAATCCACATAGGTGGTTTCTTTATTCTACTTTGCCTATCATTTTTTTAAACTGGTCTTACAAATGGGCAAAAGAGGGCAGTTTTCAAAGTGTCTAGAGGCCTATGATTCAAGACTGAAAGCTGGCATCCTTAAACTTTGAAGAAAAAACATCTGCCTCTGTGTGTGTGTGTGTGTGCGTGAGAGAGAGAGAGAGAGAGAGAGAGAG